AGCGTGTCCTTGCTGCCACAGCAATAAAATCCCCCGGCCTTGTTTTTTTGGCGGCGAGGAGGATGATGGTGGCTCTCCCTCCTCCCTGCGCCACCGTCAGAACTTGCCCCCGTGGCTGGGTCCTTCGCTAACAAGGACTCGTCCCTTTCATCCCCAGCGGCGGGAGGGGATGGGGATGGAGGTGAGAGCGAGGATTTCTCCCGGGGCCGGGAGGGGAAGGCTGGGTGGCGTTGGAGTTTCTTTTGCTGAGATACCATTAACGAGTGAGCAAAGGTTGCGGAGTCTCCATGGAGACAAGACAGCAAGAGAAGGGAGCGGGTGTGCGCTGGGTGAGAGCTGATTAGTAAATGTCAGCGGCACAGCCACTGCCCGCGCCACGCTGGCACCCCACACCGGGCACCTCCGCAGCGTCCCGGGCAGGTCCAGAGCGTCCCGGGCATCCCAGACACGTCCTGAGTGTCCTGGGCACCCCAGGCACTTCCTTCCCATCCCGGGCACCCCGGGCAGCCCCTCTGCATTCTGGGCATCCCAGACACGTCCTGAGTGTCCTGGGCACCCCAGGCACTTCCTACCCATCCTGGACATCCCGGGCAGCTCCTCTGCATCCCGGACATCCCAGACACCTCCTGAGCGTCCCGGGCACCGCGGGTACTTCCTACCCATCCTGGACATCCCAGACACATCCTGAGTGTCCTGGGCACCCCAGGCACCACGGGCACTTCCTACCCATCCCGGGCACCCCGGGCACCTCCTCTGCATTCTGGGCATCCCAGACACGTCCTGAGTGTTCCGGGCACCCTGGGCACCACGGGCACTTCCTACCCATCCCGGGCACCCCAGACACCTCCTCTGCATTCTGGGCATCCCAGACACATCCTGAGTGTCCTGGGCACCCCAGGCACTTCCTACCCATCCCGGGCATCCCAGACACCTCCTGAGTGTCCCGGGCACCTCCAGAGCGTCCCGGGCACCTCCGGAGCGTCCTGGACATCCCAGACACCTCCTGAGTGTTCCGGGCACCCCTGGCACTTCCTACCCATCCTGGGCACCCAGGGCAGCTCCTCTGCATCCCGGGCACCCCGGGCACTTCCTACCCATCCCGGGCACCCCGGGCAGCCCCTCTGCATCCCGGGCACCCCAGACACCTCCTGAGCATCCCGGGCACCGCGGGCACTTCCCACCCATCCCGGGCACCCCAGACACGTCCTGAGTGTCCCGGGCACCCCGGGCACTTCCTACCCATCCTGGGCACCCCGGGCACCTCCTCTGCATCCCGGGCATCCCAGACACGTCCTGAGTGTCCCGGGCACCCCAGACACCCCAGACATCCCAGACACCTCCTGAGCATCCCGGGCACCGCGGGCACTTCCTACCCATCCTGGGCACCCCAGACATGTCCTGAGCGTCCCGGGCACCTCCTCTGCATTCCGGGCATCCCAGACACATCCTGAGTGTCCCGGGCACCCCGGGCAGCCCCTCTGCATCCCAGATACCTCCAGAGCATCCCGGACACTCCGGGGTGTCCCACGCATCCCGTCCGTGCAGTGTGCCCGTGGCATCACGGGCTCCCCGGCTACCCCACGCACCCCTTCCATCCCGTGCATCCCAGGTGTCCTGTGGTGTGTGTGTCCCTGCATCCCAGGCACCTGGGCAGCCCATCCACCCCCGTGCATTGTTCCATCCTGGTCATTCCCTGCATCCCAGGCACCCCGGGCAGCCCATCCACCCCCGTGCATTGCTCCATCCTGGTCATTCCCTGCATCCCAGGCACCCTGTCCATCCTGAGCCCCGTTCCACCCCCGGTATGCCATGTGTCCTTGTGCATCCCAGGCCCGTGGGAGTCAGGGATGCGGGAGAAGCTTTGGGAGCACGTTTCCAAAGCATCCTCACAGCTCTGGAGCTCGCAGCCCTGGCTGCTTTCCCGCAGGGAGCAGGGATGCAGCTGTGCCTGCTGGGATAGGGGCAGTTGGCCAGGGAAGAGACATCCGAGGCTTCAACAAGCTGCCATCTCCTCTCTCCCGTGGAGAATGTCCCCTTTCCCAGCCCCTGAAGCACGCAGAGGAAGGATGAGGCTGGACCTCCTGGATCCCACCTGGTTTTCAGCAGAATCCAAGCCCACGCTGAGGGAATCAGGGCTGGCATGAGGCGCTGATGTGTGCCAGGGTCTGCCTGGGGTTATCAAGGGCTTGGACGTGGCTGGAGCCCACCTGGGAGGGAGGCGGGAGGCAGGAGCAGCCTGGCCGCCCTCGCCCATGCCCTGGAGCATCATTTCCCTCCAGCAGAACACAGGAAAGCACCTGGCAGGCAAGAGCACCGTGTTGGGGGGCAGGCAGCAGGGGGGAGGTGGGCTGGATCCTGCAGTTTAGCAGGTTTTATTCAGCAGCTATAAACAGAGCAGGAGAGATAAAGGTTGCAGTGCAGATACAGATTAGGAAGGTCCCTTGAGGCTGTGACACCTTGAGATGGAGGCAGATCTTCAAGGGAATGGCTCGCTGGCAGCTTGGAAAACACGGAGCTGAGCGGCCTCCAGCAGCACCCCAGCCCCTGGCCACACCCTCGGGTGGTTATTGGGGGTGCTGGGACAGGATGGGGGCACTGGGGACGTACCCCAGGTACCCTGTGCATCCTGTGTAGCCCAGGTATCCCAGCTACCTCACCTACCTGAGCATCCGTGTACCCCATGCCCCCCAGGTGTCCATGCCCCAGGTACCCCGTGGGTGCCCCCGGCCCTGGGCACCCCCTGCACCCCATGTGTCCCTTCTCATCCTGCCAGGACGCACACGGGGAGCAGCAGGACGTGCTGCCCACCCTGCAGAGGTGGGACTCAGGGGGAAAGCGGGGCCAAAACCAGGCAAGAAATGGCCCTTTGAGTCTGTCTGTGTGTCCATCTGCCCCAGCAGCACCAGGAGGGACCCCGGGCGGGCACAGGCTGTGCCACAGGGCGGGGCAGGCACGGACAGGAGGGACAGTGTGGCTCACACCACAGTGACCCTGGACACCGCTCTGCCATCACGGCTCCGGGCTCCTTTGCTTCCTGGCAGGAGCACCGGTGATTTACTCCCTGTGCTTTGCTTTAAAGCAGGAGCACAGAGCAGAGATGGATGTCTGTGCCAGTGCCCTTCATCCCGCTCCCTCTTCCCCAGCAAGCCCACAGGCTTGGCTTGATCATCAGGCAGGGAGGCAGGATTTAATATCCAGGTGCACCAGCAGAAACATGCCTGCCATGTGGGGGAATTGCTCATCGGATCTCTGCTGCTGCACTTTCTGGAGGGCATTAGCACCACCCCGGCTCTGCGAGCACCAGCAGGAGTTGCAGGATGCTGGCCCCATCCCTGGAAGGGCTCGCAGCATCCTGGGCCAGTCAAAGGTGTCCCATGGGTTTTAAAATCCCTTCCAGCCCAAGCCACGCCAGGAGGGCCTGTCCCCGTGTCCCCAGCAGCGCTACTCCAGGCTCCTTTAATCCCTGACTCCTTCCCAGCCCCATCCAGCCATGGGGAGAAATCCAGGCGGGACCAAACTCAGCATCACCCGGAGGGAGAGAGAATCCCAGCGGCCATCGCCAGGAGGGTGTGGGGCTGCCCCATGGCCCAGCTCGGGGATCCCTGTGATGGGAACCTGCTTTGGGGGCTGGGGGCACCCCAGCACTGCCACCTGCCCCTGCCATGCCCTGCCTCTCCCCCTCCAGCCCTTCTCCTGCAGGCCTGTCCCCGTACCCTGCATGCCTTGGCCCACAGCTCCCACCCCGACCCCAGACCCCACACTGCAGACCCCACACCCCACACTGCACACCCCACACCCCATCTCCCCACACCCCACACTGCACACCCCATCTCCCCACACCCCACACTGCACACCCCATCTCCCCCACCCCACACCCCATCTCCCCCATCCCATCTCCCCACACCCCACACTGCACACCCCACACTCCATCTCCCCCATCCCATCTCCCCACACCCCACACCCCATCTCTCCCCCACCCCACACCCCACACTGCACACCCCACATCCCACACTGCACACCCCACATCCCACACTGCACACCCCATCTCCCCACACCCCATCTCCCCACACCCCAGACCCCACACTGCACACCCCACGCCCCACACTGCAGACCCCACACCCCATCTCCCCACACCCCACACTGCAGACCCCACACCCCACCTCCTCACACCCCACACCCCAGACCCCACACTGCACACCCCACACCCTACACTGCACACCCCACACTGCACACCCCACATCCCATCTCCCCCACCCCACACTGCAGACCCCACACCCCATCTCCCCACACCCCACACCCCATCTCTCCCCCACCCCATCTCCCCACACTCCACACCCCACACCCCATCTCCCCACACCCCACACTGCACACCCCACACCCCATCTCCCCACACCGCACACCCCACACCCCATCTCCCCCACCCCACACTGCAGACCCCACACCCCACACCCCATCTCCCCACACCCCACACTGCAGACCCCACACCCCATCTCCCCACACCCCACACCCCATCTCCCCCAGCCCACACCCCCCCCGGGGCCGCCCCGCCCTGGTTTGACACCCCCGCTCCCCCAGGTGGAACCATAGAGGCGAAAGTCAACTCCAAAGCGGAGCTCTCCGGGGCAGGTGCGGAAGTGACAGAGACCCTTTTCCTCCAATGCTCCTTGGAAGGATGTCAAGGTCTGGCTTTCACAAACAAACAAAAATAATTTTAAGATGTCGTAATGGTGACTGGAGGCGCGGTTCTCCCCTCTGCCCCTGTACGCTATGCCCAGGCCGCTCGGTGCTCCCCCCGTCTATCTCCCCTCATGGTACACTCCTCCGTACTTACTCTCTTTGCGCGGCCGCCTTGGGTGCGGTTCTTCCGCTACGCCAGGGCCGTACGAAAGTGGCGTAGGACGGCTTTGATGGACAGCGAACGCAGCCAATGGCGCGGCAGCAGCCGCGGGCAGCCAGCCAATGGCGCGGCGGTGCGGCGGCCGGGGGAGGCGGGGCTCGGGCCCGGCGGGGCAGGGAGGGGGAGCCCTGGAATGGCGGACGGGCGGGCCGGCCCGCCCTGCTGGTAGTGAGAGCCGGGGCGCGGAGGGGACAGCCGCGGATAGGGTGAGTGCCAGAGGGGCGAGCGGGCCTCCCCAGCCCCGCCGGGCCGCTGCTTCCCGGGAGAGACACAGGCAGAGGCGCTGGAGTGGGCCGCAAGGCCCTTGCCAAATAGTGAATTATGGGGATGAGGCGGGCGGTGCTTCCTGCCACATAGTGATCCACAGCTCCTGGCGGGGTCTGGGGGCTCTGTCCCGCTCCGGGGCTCCATCCTCGGCCTGGCACTTCCACAGCCCTCCCGGAGGCCGCGGTGTGGTGCGGGGTGTGCGCCCGGGCCGGGCCGGCCGTGGGGAATCGGGGTCAGGGATGGGCTGGCCGTGGGTGCTCAGAGCCCGAGGGGTGCTCAGAGTCCGGGGGGTGCTCAGGGCCCGAGGGGTGCTCAGAGTCCGGGGGGTGCTCAGGGCTGTCCCGGGGGTGCTCAGGGCTGCCCCGGGGATGCTCAGAGCTGCCCCGGGGATGCTCAGAGCTGCCCCGGGGATGTTCAGGGCTGCCCGGGGATGCTCAGGGCTGCCCCGGGGATGCTCAGGGCTGTCCCGGGGATGCTCAGGGCTGTCCCGGGGATGCTCAGGGCTGTCCCGGGGATGCTCAGGGCTGTCCCGGGGATGCTCAGGGCTGTCCCGGGGGTGCTCGGGGATGCTCAGGGCTGCCCCGGGGATGCTCAGGGCTGCCCCGGGGATGCTCAGGGCTGCCCCGGGGATGCTCAGGGCTGCCCCGGGGATGCTCAGGGCTGCCCCGGGGATGCTCAGGGCTGCCCGGGGATGCTCAGGGCTGTCCCGGGGATGCTCAGGGCTGCCCCGGGGATGCTCGGGGATGCTCAGGGCTGTCCCGCGGATGCTCAGGGCTACCCCGGGGCTGTCCCGGGGATGCTCAGGGCTGCCCCGGGGATGCTCGGGGATGCTCAGGGCTGTCCCGCGGATGCTCAGGGCTACCCCGGGGCTGTCCCGGGGATGCTCAGGGCTGCCCGGTGAGGCTCAGGGCTGTCCCGGGGAGGCTCAGGGCTGTCCCGGGGATGCTCAGAGCTGCCCGGGGATGCTCAGGGCTGCCCGGGGGTGCTCAGGGATGCTCAGGGCTGTCCCTGGGATGCTCAGGGCTGCCCCGGGGATGCTCAGGGCTGTCCCGGGGTGCTCGGGGATGCTCAGGGCTGTCCCGGCGGGGCTCAGAGCCCCGTGCTGGCCCAAGGAAATGTCGCCTGCAGGGCTCTGTCCAGGCCTGGCCGGTGCCTGCTGCCCTGGGGTTGTCCCGGAGGTCTGGCTCAGGGGGGGCGTGGGGCACTCAGGAAACAAGGGGGTGCTGCAGGGTGCCTCTGAGGGGGAGCAGAGGGGATCCCTCCCATTGCAGGCATTTGCCACCTGAGTTTGACATTGGGACTTGTGAAAACCTGTCTGTGTCCGTGCCCAGAGTCTGTCTGGGTGGCAGCTGGGTGCTGTCATTGGGGGACACCTCTGTGTCCTGCCTGTGTGCCAGCCTCACTCCTGGGTGCACCCCTCGATCCCTGGGAACACTTTTGGGTATGTGTGTCACCCCCTTGTCTGTGAACCATCCACAGCACATAAAATCCAGAGCTAATTTATGTGACCCTCTGTGGGTGCTGTAGCATGCTTAGGGAAATGGGTTGGGGTTTTTTATTTTCCCTGAAAAAAGCTTGGGGGATGGTTGGATAGTTGGGGTTAGTGCACTGACCTCCTGGTGGCCTCAGACCGTATTTCTTCTGGAAAGGAGTAAGTTGCTAGGGAATGTCCTTGTGGTTGTACCTCACCAGCGTTCAGGTTAGTGTTGGGGTTACTTTGGGATGCAGGTAGTCTGGAGAAAGGTGAGGGTTGCATCTTCTCCCTGTTGGCTGTCACTTGACTTCAAGGACCTTCCTGTGGTAGGATTTTTTATTTCCCTGTCAGAATTTCATGTTTGGCCTTGCTGTTTTGCTTTCTTTAAAAGGAACAACAGAATTGGGCACCTCTCCATAGGTCAGAGCACTGGTGGGGCTGAGGGATGTGCTGATGCTGGGAGTTCAGCACTAGGAAGCACGGAAAGTCTTAAATCTTTCAGCACTGCAGATGTTGGTGGACATGAAATTCTATTAATAATGCTTAAAAAAACTTGTGTTAAATACATGCAGACAGTCATAATTTATGGAGCTCTCTGTAACCCTCACACTTTTGTGTCCTTCCTGAAGACTCGTGAGAGGGAGAAGTTGAAATTAAAAGATGTTGGAAAAAATGTGCTTCCCTGAGACAAAACTGATGCGATAACGTTGCTTTTATAGAATCATGGAATGGTTTGGATTGGAAGGGACCTTAAAGAGTCCAATTCCACCCCTGCCATGTGCAGGGACAGCTTCCACAGCCCTGGGAAGTCCCACTTTGTGGGAAGTCCCGAGTCTGGCGTGCTCGGTCACATGAGGAAGGACAGTAGTTATGTTTTCCATCATTTCCAACGTCTGCAGAATCAGCTGCTGCTAAACAGGAATTAATGCTGCAGGAATTCGGAACGCTGCCTTGCGACACTTGTCGTTCTGATTTGTCCCTTCCTGACCTTGAGTGGGCTTTGCCATAGAAACCAGCTCGTGGTTGAATCCCAAACCGAGTTAAAAACAAACCAGAGCCAACATCTCCCCACGAGTGCACAGCCAGCATGCCCAGAGAGTGACTTTGAATCCCCCTCCAGAGCCAGGCAGGAGCGTTATCCCAGCAGCGAGGTAAGGCACACCACACACAAAGTTCTGAGCACTTTGGGGGTTTTATTTCTCCTTAAGGAACGTGCTTCAGAACGTGAGGTTTGAGTGACAAAGCGTGACCTGAGCTTGCAAGAGCGGCCTGACACTGATCTTGGCTCAAGCTGCAGTTGTCACTGTTATCCCTGGGTGTGTTGGTGATGCTGGGATCAGGCTTTCTGGGATTTACCTTCCAAAGCCTTGATTTCTGCACCATTTAAAGCCCACCTGACATGAGGTGAAGCCTTGCTGTGTCTTCTAAGCGTGGATTGTAAGAGGACAAACTTCTAGGGGTGAACTCAGTGTAAACTTTCCCCTAAACTATATATTTTCCACTGGTTTTAAAAAGAACTGTGATATTTTTTTGTCTTGTCTGGTAATGAGATCAAAAACTAAATGTCCCAAATTCCATTATTTTAATTTAAAGAAATAAAACCGTTTTGATGGCTCCTGCCAGTACAAAACTGGTTTCCCGATGACTAATGTGACACACCACACAGAAATGGTATATTTTTGTGAGTTGCAACTCAGAAGGTATTTGCAGACAGTGATTCATGACAAGGAATACAACCCTTCTGATCAGTCCCCACCCAGTTTCTCAGCGTGCTTCGAATATATCTCATTCTTCAGGGCTGGTCTAGGAAAAGTTGATTTCATTCACCAATGTTAGATAATCAGTGTGTGGGTGGAGGGGTTAAAACTTCAGTGATTGCCTCATGTGCATGAAGTTACAGCAGCAATTCCCTTTCCCGGGTTTATTTTCTTATATTTTTGTGGTGATAGAAGAACAAAGGTTGGTAGGATTAATGTTTTTCAAAAATTCAGGTTTTCTCTGACAGATTGTAATAAAGAAGATTTCAGCAAGGGTTAAGACTTGGCTTTGAGCCTTCTAGATAATTTCTCTCAGTGCGTTTTCTGGACTCGAAACATTTAATAACTTTAGATGCAAGTTTTGGGTTTGCCTCTCTTTGGTTTGATGGTAATACTGCGCCCTTGGTCATTCAGCTGAGCAAAACACATTGCTCATGAGTCAGTCACTAACCAGGAAAGGGATTGAATAGTGATTGTGTTTGCATGTGCTGTGGATAAAGTTCCTGCTGTCCTCATGCAGAATGGGACACCAGGAAAAAACACTGCCAAAAGCTCCTTCTGAGGGTTCCAACAGCCACAGCCGGCCCTGTCCGGTGGCTCAGCTCTGCCCTTGCTCTTTTGTACAGTTTCTACAACAAATGCACAGGAAACAACCCAAAAGTGACACACTGTGAAAACCCAGGAAGGCAAAATGCAGCTATTTTCCCAGCCTGTCTTCTGGTGTGTTACTGTTTTCGACAACACTCTGGCTGAAATGGGATCTGTAGTAAGAAATTTGTGTATTTGAGTGTTTATTCTCACTGTGCAAGGATAAATATTTGTGAGATCAGGGCCTTAGTTACCACAGATTAACATTTATTTAAATACTTTAGGTATTTATAAACACGGGATTAAAAAAGGCATGTAGCAATGGCTTCTGGGTAATAAGCAAATGACTGCTCAGAACAGAAGCACCCTGGTGACATTTACTTCCTTTTGTATTTTTGCAACTCTGTGTAATAAAAAGATGTGTTGGTTCTTTTTTGAGGACAGGAGGCAGATCAGGCTTCACTGTGGAGGGAGTGCTTGGCAGAAGGTGATCAGATTCAGGCCTCATTCTCATCTATATGACATTTCTTTTTCCATCTGAAGGTTTGCAGGATATTTTTTTCCCTGCCTGGGAGGCAGTAGGAGGGGAGGTCCCTTCCCAGAAGAACTGAAATGTGAACTTCCACATTATTTTCTCAAGCAAGCAGCGTGAGGTGTTAATCACATTCTCCATCCCAGCTCTTTCCCCACTGTAATGGGCCTGGGAAATAGTTCATCTAGATCCTACCCTAATTCCTGAAATTGCAGAAAGCTCTCTGGTGTTAGGTTGCTGCTGGAGAAGTGGTGGAGCTCAGATAATCTCAAGTATGCTTCTGCCAGGGGCTTTGATGAAGGAATTCAAAGCACCAGGAAGCTCGATGGATCTCTCACAAATGGGTCAGTGGTGACTTGCTCCGTTCCTTCAGTGCCTGCTCTGTCCACTCCTCTTCCACAGAGTATCCCAGACCCTTTGTGGGGAGCAGAGGTGCTCTAAGGGATGCTGTGATACTGAGAGAGGAAGCAGGAGATGCCCGTGAGGCACCCGCAGTTGGCAGTGGTTCTTGAGGGCTGAAGTTCTGCCTGGGAGGCTGTTGCTGTGTCACTGCTTCAGGTGAGCTGTTCCCAGGTTGCTGGTGACTTG